CTAGTCTGTTCCTAGGCCTTCACACTCCCACCCTCTACCCATCAAGTGGCTACCTAGCTGGGTAGGAAGGAGGGTGCCAGAGATGCAGAGTAGCTGCCTATGAGGGGGGGCATTCTCCTCATTGCAACTTGCAGGGGCCTTTATCTGGTGGGTCACTTCATGTGATCACACCAAAACGGGTTCTGCTAACAGAGACATGTTCTTTGATTCCGATGATTGTACAAGCAGGTCCCAGGTTCATTTCTAAAAACCAAAATGTTCGATGGGTGAAGGGCTCTGGGAGGCCAGAGGCCTCAGTGCTGTGGGTGGCATTAGGCAGGAAAGGGCAGGTGTCCAGGGGTATTTCCAGGAAAAGTTCTAGAGGAGGAAATGAGCAGGAGCTGGAGGCTGGATTGGGGGGCGGATCCTGGAAGCATCTGCTCACTGGAGACTGGATGGGGGGGGGCGGGCGGCTGGAAGCATCTGCTCACTGGAGACTGGATTGAAGGGGGTAGCTAGAAGCATCTGCTCACTGGAGACTGGATTGGAGGGGGCGGCTAGAGATATCTGTTCACTGGAGATTGGATGGGGGGGAGGGTGTGGAAGCATCCATTCACTGGCAAAACACACTCCTCTGAACGGAGCTGATCCCACATTCAACATAGGAGACCGGCTCTGGCTCCAGAGGCAAATACTCATCTGCCCGCCCAGGCATCGTAATTCACCCAGCAGATATCTGCTTCCTGTCTCCTCTCTATAGCAGCTTCTGTACCAGGCTACAAAGACACCACTGCCTCTAAGAGGTGACCTCTACAGTGTGGGGCATTCTCACCAGCAGGAGAGGCAGATAAAAGGTCAGAGGAAAGACAGGGAGCTCACTGAAGAGCCAGCCCATCAGGGAGCCTCCTGTCTGGCCAGGCTTCCCCAGAGGAGCTGGAAGTCTGTAACCCCCAGATTACCTGGAGACACTGGCAGGGGGCAGTCTGTCAGTATAACCCTAAAGCCTGCTGACTCTCTCTGTTGGACTTGGTGGACAGTGTGTCCACAGCCACCCTTGGACCCGATTCACTGAGGCAAAAACGACCATAACTGTCAGTCTTGTGGGCGGCTGAGTCATTTATTAGCGTCCACACATCGGAACATGGTCAAGGAGGTGCATGAGACTACATCCTGCTCTCTCCCTTCCCAGGAACAGGCAGGTGGGACAGACAAGCAAGCTGAGGTGACACAATCCTGCTAGAAAGTGGAGTATGCTAAGCACAGGGTGGAGAAAGAGTGGGACCCACATTCAGTCTAACACAGCAAGACCCCGGCCCAGGGTGATGTCCTCGTATGACTCAGAGGCTAGATCTATATGGGACCAACTTCCTGCCTGTGCAGCACGGCATCCAGAGAGAATGAGAAATTCTGCGACTCTAGAGATTTGGCAAAAGGACAGAAGATAAACAGGCTATCTCTAGGAACGAGGAAAAATGAACCCAGCTGCTGTATTTGGTGGAAGCATTTGGCTCAGCAGCCTCTTTGTTACCCCTCTAGTCCGGCTGCTCTCCAAATGCAGAGGCTTTTGGGAGACAGAAGGGTCCCAGCCCAAGCCTCTCAGGGTGTCCTGGGTCCATACGCATATGCCAAATAGTTGCCTTTGAAATATTTGACTTTGACTAAGCAAGAATCATGAGACATGTTCAGTAGTTCTGCAGTCAGGCCCAGGACAGCAGGGAGCTGAACAGTCAGGCCCAGGACAGCAGACACTTTACCTTGCTCATTCCTGTCATGCTGCCTGGAGACTGGGAATCCCAGGGCCAGGGGAGCTCCCAGGGATCGGCACAGGTATGAGGGAATGCTGGCTGAGGGAAAGGGGGTACAGGGAAGAGGAGATTGTCATCCCTAGCTCACCTGTCAGTCCTGACTTCACACAGCCCCAGCAGGGGCAGTGGGCCCTTCCTGTTCTCAAGACATGGATGCAGACCCAGCTCCCTGGCCATCTTTGTGCTTCAGGGCTGGTGTGAACGGAGGGAAATCATACTGGGTTTGGAGGACAAGTCCCCTTATGAATTAAATCAGTCAGCACTGAGACTAGCCCAGGACTTGAAAGAGGCAGCTATCTGTGGGAGCTACTCAATCCACTCATCTCATGGATGGCTCTCTTCCAGTGCCTTCCAACACACCTACCCCACCGAGTCACTTAAACCAGAAAACACTTCAAGAGCCAAAGCAGCCTTTGCCATGGTACCTGGGTGGACCTCCTCTGCGATGGCCTTCCTAGTGCCTAGTTCAAATCCAGCAGTTCCTTGGCACACAGCCCTCCCGGCTGTGACTCTTAGGTGGGTTGCTTATGAAACAGCCAGGTGTTACCATGGAGATTTACAGACTCCAGTAGAGAGTCAGCCAAGCTCATTTTCATTCTTGTTTCCCATGGAAAAGGGTGTTCCTTCCCACCTTCTAAAGAGAGGCCACAGTATTTGGGGGTGGGGCCCCCAAATAACACCTCACAGTGTTAGGGGTGGACAGTGCTTGGGGGTAGGGCCACAGTGATTGGGTTGTGGACACAGTACTTTGGGGTGAAGCTACAGTGCCTGGGGGTGGAGCTGCAGTACTTGGTGGTGGAATCACAGTGCTTGGGAGTAGAAGCACAGTGCTTGGGGATGGGGCTATAGTGGGGTGGGGTCACACTGTTTGGGGTGGGGTCACAGTGCTTGAGGTGGGGCCACAGTGCTTGGGAATAGGGCCACAGTGCTTGGGGGTGACGCTATAGTGGGGATGGGGTCACAATGCTTGGGAGTGGGGGTCATAGTGTTTGAGGGTGGGGCCACAGTGCTTTGGGGTGGGGCCATGGTGGGAGTGGAGTCACAGTGGAGGACAGGGCTGGTGTAACTTCTATTTGGACTTCAGTTTTTTTCTTTTGAGAAGTAAGAAGGGGAAGAAAAGGCCCTCAGTCTGTAGCTGTGGAGAGGGCTGGATAAGGCATGCCCATGCAAAATAAATGACCACAGTCACCTTCTCTTTATGGTAATGTGGATAGAGATAATGACGGTGATTTTTCTAGAGCTCAAGAAAGATGCTCAGGCCAACTACCTTTCAGCCCAGGGGTGCTTCACTTCATCTTACTCCTGCTAAGTTAAAAAAAAAAATCCATACATAGGGGCTGGAGAGCAGGGTCAGTAGACAAGAACACATGCTGCTTTTTAATGTTTTTATTATTTATTTTACTATATGTGTATGAGCAGTTTGACTGCATATATATATATATACACACACACACACTCACATATGTGCCATATTTTAGTTAGGGTTTCATTGTTGTAAAGAGACACCATGATCAAGGCAGCTCTTACAAAGGCAAACATTTAATTGAAGCTGGCTTACAGTTCAGAGGTTCAGTCCATTATCATCATGGTGGGAAGCACAGCAGCATCCAGGCAGGCATGGTGCAGGAGGAGCTGAGAGTTCTACACTTTGATCCAAAGGTAGCCAGGAGAAGGATCTCCTCCATGCTATGTGGAACCCGAGCATAGAAGGCCTCAAAGCCCACTTACGCAGTGACACACTCCTTCCAACAAGGCCACATTTCCTAATAATGCCACTCCCTATGGCCAAGCATTCAAACCTGTGAATCTGTGGGGGTCAAGCCTATTCAAACCATCACATGCCTCATATCCCACAAGGTCAGAAAACACCAGATCCCCTAGAACTGGAGTTATGGATGGGTGCTGGGAACTGACCTGAACAAGTAGAGGATCTTCTTCAGCCCCAAGCACTTCCTTCATTTGCAGAAGAGCAGGATTCTGTTCCCAGAATCCACACCACATGGCCCACAGCAGCTCATAAAAGCCAGTTCCATAACGCCCTCTTCTGGCCTCCAAGGGCTCTGCACACATGTGTACATATGGACAAGCAGGCCAAAAACCAATACACATAAATAAAAAATAAAACAGAAACAAAACACACACAAATAGGCTTTCGGAAGAGGTGAGAACATTCTGGAAGCAGGAAGTGGAGACGGCAGTGTAACACTGTGGACGCTCTCACCTGTGCTTTGGAAAACAGCTGAGGTGCCAGCTATGAGTGCACCTGACTGTGATCACAAGTGTTCCAAAACTATGTGCACAGGTAATTCTGAGACTGCATGAAAACACACAAGGAAAGTACACGTAGCAGCAAAGAACTCACAGTGGCACAGTGGGTACACTTGCAGATATATAAACACACACACACACACACACACACACACACACACACACACTGAGTTTGTTTCTAAGCTCCCAAGTGTTCTCCTGAGATGCTAAGGCTGGGGACCAGAACAGGTGTGAGCCCCTCAGCCCATAAATTCCCTCTGTGAATGTTTGGCTCCAAGTCCGTGGATACTAATGTGAAAGAGTACGGTCCATGACTTTAGTTCCAAATCATTCCTGCTGATGGAAGCTATCAGAAACTGTACCTAACTTCAAACAGCACACAATAGTTGCTTGTAGATCACGGATGTGGCGGTATTAGCTGTCTTTCCTTTCGTAGGTATTAGAATTAATTTGCACAAGATGCTCACACAGGGACAGTGACTGGCATACTCCTCATATCACGCATACTAGCTGCCTTCTAGCAATAGAAACCCAAGTTGGGAATCAATATCCTGTTTAATCATCCACAGAGTGGTCATTTGTGGATGAACTCAGCATCGCTTAGGGTAGGGCGGGGCGGGGCGGGGGTGCAACAAAAGAAAAGGAAAAGCAGAAACATCCCAGAGTCCAGGAGACAGAAGTTTAGGAAGGGCGGGTGACGCCCCTGCCTGTTTCCCTTTGCATGTTAAGTGATGCCTTGACTTCCGGCCAAGCTTGAAATGCTGCGGAACCCTTCTCACCTAGGCAGGCTTTCTCCTCCCGGGAGAGGGTGCTCCAGCCTCCCCAGTCCCCTCCTCCCCACCCCCCAACCACCCTCCCCCCACCCCCGGAGCCAGCAGCACCCGCTTACAAATGCACAAGGGCCAGGCTGATTGTAATTCTCTCTGCTTTCTCTTTCTCTTTTCTTAGAGAGCCCAGAGCGCCTCCGGGAAAATTGGCTGAATAAAAGGTATAAAGACTTTCTCTTTTCTTCCTGAATGGTTTTTGACAGATATGAACATGTTGGACATCTCAGGAACTGCTGGTGGTGAGCGCCAGGAATTGCTGGGGTTTCCCACTGGCTAGGGGGAGGGAAAGATTGGGGGATGGCAGGGAAATTTTGATATCTCCTCTCTCGTCCCCCGGGAGATAGGTTTGAATTTTGTGAGGAAGGAGGCGCAAAGGCAGAGAAGCCTAAAAGCGCTGGACAATGATCCAAGGAGCCTGTTCTTAGGCAACTCCGACCTGCCCAAAAACCGACGTCCGATCCTTCCTGGCCCCACCCCTCATTCACTCCCCATCCCGCCCCCTCTCAGTTATTCAGCGTGTTTCCACCCATCCCTGGGGCAGCACAGTCTTAGATCCCACTGTCTAACTCTCCTGGAGCTAGTCTCCGGGAGCTGGGAACTATGGAAACCAGCTCAGTTTCAGGTGCTAAGCCTCACTAGGAGGCTGGACTTTGAAGCTAAATCACCTGATGCTCTTCTTGGCTCGCCCTCCACCAGCAACTCCTCTTCTTCATGGAGTTACAAAAAAAAGCTTTACTTGAAGTGTGGGAGGGGTGCCGTCCAAAGGATGGAGATTGGTTGTGAACAAAATTAGAAGATGTGACTTTTCAGCCCACCCTACCACACACTAGTGCGCCTGGGGTCAGAGCTTCCTGCTTGCGAGCTCCTGGGTCTGGGGCGGGGCTTCCTGTTGAACTCTTGAGTCTGAGGTTGAGTCTGAACCAGTGGTGCCACAGTCACAGAATACATGGTGCTGGACAATGCAAAAGGAGAACAGATAAAGCCCAGATGAGGCTCAGCAGGCAGAGCACTCGCCTGCAATGCACGTGGCTGTGGGGTCCGTCCCCAGCGCTTGCACCACGCTCGGTGATCCACACCTGTAACCCTAGGACTTGGAGAAGGAGCCAGGAGAATTAGAAATTCAGGGTCATCCTCTGCTGCTTGTTGAGTTTGAAGCTAAATTGGGGTACATGAAGCCCTGTCTCATAAAAGGGGGGAGGGGCTGAAGAGATGGCTTAGTAGTTAAGAGCACCTGTTCTTGCCCAAGACCCAGGTTCAGTTCCCAGCATGCACACGATGAGTTCTAATTGTCTACAACTCCAGTTCAAGGAGATCCAGCGCCCTCTACTGGCCTCTGTAGGTACCAGGCAAGCTGTGCATACATACCCACAGGCAAACATTTAAGACACATAAAATAAAAATAAATATTTTTTTAAGAGACACACTTAGCAGTTCACAGTTATGGTTGCCATCCAGTGTTGAGGTGCTGACACCCTGTGAGGAAATTACTGCTGTGTTAAAATGTAAAAGGCAAGAGAGAAAAGAAGGCAACTTGGCCCTGTATTTGGGGTTGGCGATGTGTTTGTGTGTTATACATATGTATGTATGTGTACATTCAGACACACACACCTCTAAGCACACATGTGGAGGCCAGAGGTCAGAATTAGTGTCTTGGAATGTCTTTCTTGACTTTATTTCTAAACCTAGTGCTCAGTGATTGGCTAGATTGGCTGTTCATCATGCTCCAGAAGTCTGTGCCGCCTCCCCAACATAGGGAATAAAGTCACTTGCCACAACACCCTGCTTTTATGTGGGTGCTGAGGGGATCAAACTTGGGTCCTCTTGTTTGTAAGCTACTATACCACCCACTGAGCCAGCTCCCCAGACCCTCAACTTCCTCCTTTTAGAATGCTACTAATTCTCCCCCACCCAGGAGGGTGGAGCCTTTATGGTCTAATCACATCTTGACACTGTTACTATAGTAATTAATTTCCACATGAGGTGACAGGCATTCAAGCTCAGCAGATGGTGTGTGGCAAAGGCCTTAAATGTTTCCTGCATGTCAGAACCAAAAACAGTTTCATCAGATTCAGGGACAACATGTGTTCCTAAGGTGAACTTGTAATGTCTTTTGGGCTGCATTTGCCGCAAGATACCCCTGGTTCCTACGTCAATCCTACCAAAGGAGGAGAAGCCCCATGTGGAAGCTGGCCTTCACCAGGCCACACAGGTTGTCTGTAGAGCGGGCTCTTTGGGTTCTGCTCATCAGGGAGCCTTCCTCCTATGGCTCGGGCCTCTCAAGCTGGACAGTGCTTTATAAGATGTCCTAAGTTCAGGTCATGTTCCTGCTGTCTGATCTTGGTCAGAGTCGTATTGGCACCAGGCCTGGTGGCACAGCCCTGTAGTCTCAGTGCCTATGAGGCTGAGGCAGGAGGATAACATATTCAAATCCAGACTGAGCTATATAAGGAGACCCTGTCTCAACAAACGAACAAAAAAGTTGTGGAAATAATCACTTTGAGTAAATTAAGTGAGTCTCGGAAAGGTAAATAGGCTATGGGTTTTTTTTTTCTTTTACTCATGAGTCCTGGGTTTTGTACAGAAATTAAATCATACATGTTCAGGTGCCAGGAAAGCAAAAGGAAGAGCCTGCCAGATGGCTCAGTGGACTCAGGCACTGCCACCAAGCCTGACTACCTGTGTTCTACTCCCAGGATCCATGTGCTAGGAGAAGCAACTCCTGTAAGTTGTCCTCTGACCTCCACAGGAGCTCATACGTGCAAACACATACACACGTACGCACACTTGTGCGTGCACACTCACTCGCACACACACAAAAATAAAACTTTTTAAGATAGGGTCTCACTATGTAGCCTTGGTTGTCCTAGAACTCTCTGTGTAGACCAAGCTGGCCTCACCAAGTCCAGTAGTAAATAAATAAATAAATAAATAAATAAATGTAAATTAAGAAGATAAAGTGGCCTACTGGGGTGTAGTGGTAGGGTAGCAGGGTATGGGGGGATTATGTTAAAGGATATTTGCAAAAATACAGCTTTGTGTGAGCCTACCTAACAACTTTTAAAGTTGTATTGACTATTGTAGACACTTCACATTCCCATGTGAATTTTAGAGCTAGTATGTAAATTCTGTTTTAAAACAAAACAAAACAAAAACCACCCTGCTAGGATTTCAAGCAAGCTCACCCTGGATCACTGACATCCAACACCAGTGAGTTCCCTATGTCTGACTCAAGGGTCTGTCCCCACAGGTGGAACGCTGGTCCTCCATCTCTCTCCAGTGGTGCAGTCTTTGGCGCCCATGTGCATTCCCACAGACCCACTCCCAAGCTCTTGCTTCTCTTTGCTACCTCAGTGGCTTTTTCCGTTCCAGCTCTGGCGGCAGCAGTGGCGGCACAGAGATCAAATTCTTCTGTGCTTCATGTATTGATCTTGTGCCCTGCAGCCTTGCTGAACTTGCTTGCTGCTGGCTCCTGTCACCTCTCACAGGTTCTGTGTGACTTTCTATGCAGGAGGAGGTGTGGTCTGTGATTTGAAAGTGATGGCACTTTCTGATCTGGGGTCCTTAACACTGGATGAAGCCAGCGTAGGGCTGAACGGGAAGGAGAGCTGACGTGCTTGCGTCACTTCAGGTCTTAAAACCTCCTGTTAGTCGGAGTGTTCTATATCCACTCCTACTTCCTATCTTGTACGGACTTGCTGGAGGTTTATTATTATTATTGCTGTTGTTTGTTTGTTTGTTTGTTTGTTTAGTGGAGGGCATCCATGTACATGCTAGGACACACAGGTGAATGGAGTTCAGAGGACTGACTACTCACTGAGTCACTTCTCTCCCTGAGGTATGTGGGTTCCAGGGATTAGACTCAGGTCATAAGCAAGGCTTGACAGCAAAATGCCCTTTACCCTTTGACCTCTGAACCATCTGTTTAAGCCAATTGATTTTAAGATTATATATTTCCTACACATATATCTGTGCAACAACATTCTGTGTGTCCGGTACCCATGAAAGACAGAAGAGAATATCAGATCCCCCAGGACTGACTGGACTTACCCTATAGGTGCTGAGAATCGAACCTGAGTCTCCTACAGGAACAGTCAGTGCTCTTACTCTCTGATTCTCTCCAGGCCTTCAGCCCTAGATTTGTCAAGTTTTCTTTCTTTATTTTTATTTTTATTTTTTGGTTTTCCAAGACAGGGTCTCTCTGTGTAGCCCTGACTGTCCAGGCTGGCCTCGAACTCAGAAATCCGCCTGCCTCTGCCTCCCAAGTGCTGGGATTAAAGGCGTGCGCCACCACTGCCTGGCAATTTGTCAAGTTTTCTTGGAGGCTAAGTGTGGAATACGGCACATTCTTCCCAGTGCCTAGAGTGGTAACCCAGTGTGGCTTCTTTCCTGGCTTGTTAACTCAGTGTGTTCCATCCTCTGACTTTCAAACATCAGTGTGACTTTATTTGAAACCATTATTCTATTGTCTTTATTTTCACGCTTCTTCTTCGTTACCTCGTCTTTGCTGTGTTCCTTTGTGTTGCTTCAGGGATCCGGTTTTACCTCGGCTTTGGCTTCCTCCACCGTAGCTCCTTGCTCTGCCTTTTCAGTAAGCATTTCCACTTCAGAGTCTATTGTGTGTGTCTAGGTGCTCTGCAGTCTGCATTCCAGAGTTTAAACCTGTGTCACACAGCAGCCTAAGAAGCACCTTGCGCCCGGATGTTTTCTTGTCTCCTGCCGGAACTCCATGCCTTTGTAACCGTACACTTTACAGTGAGCTCTATGCAACGCAGCTATTAGCCTTTACTTAAAGTGGTCGGGATTTTGGTGAACAGAAGAGACCCTGTGGTGGTAGGAATGAAAATGGTCCCTATAGACTCATAAGAAGTGGCACTATTAGGAGGTATGGCCCTATTGGAGTAAGTGTGTCACTGGAGGTGGGCTTTGAGACTTCAGATGCTCAAACCAGGCCCAGTGTCTCTCTCTTCCTGCTGCCTGCTAATCCAGATGTAGAATCTCAGCTATCTCTTCTGTGCCTGCCTCTCTACATCTGCCTGCATGCTACTATGCATCTCACCTCGACCTTAATGGACTAAACTTCTGAACCCCAACTGAATATTTTCCTTATAAGAGTTGCTGTGGTGAGCCGGGCAGTGGTGGTGCACGCCTTTAATCCCAGCAC